TTAACCTTAGTCCTATTTTGTCCGACGGGACCGGTGCTTTGGAAGAGACTGCACTAGAAGCATCTGCCATGCCACTCTGATTAATGTAGCGCAAAGAAGTACTTAGAGAGAAAACGGCACCAAACACTTTAATATAGGACACCAATGCCAAGGATATCACAGAAGCTACCCCAAAGTACATCAGTCAGGGGCATCATGGAAACAAGTTATTTTTGAAATGATTTGTTTAAGTTCTTAAATGTCAACATTTTGGGTTATCTTTCCCTGATTATGGTTTTCTTCAGTAAATTATTTCAGTTATTGATACTTTACTATTCATTATTGTAAACCTACTGGTATCTAAAAGGCTTTAGTCATGCTGTGCTTGGGTTATTAAGTAGAGGGAAGAGGTTCATGACAGTAAAAGTAATGTATCTTTACAATGTAGCACATTAAAATTCCACAAATCTTATGGCCAAAACAAAATATACTCTTGTTTCCTGTCCCCTGACCAAAAAAATTAGGGTAGGTAGGTAGGGAAAAAATTTTATTTTGAGAAAAAATTCTCTATACATCATGTAATGACAAGAAAATGATATGTTAACTGTTTCCAGAGCAAGTTTGGTAATGAAGATTTATAAAGTAAAGGTATCCTGTACACTTGTGATGCATTAGTTCTGTACATATTGTTGGTCGACTTTAGTACTTTAGGAAAATAGTCACCCGAAAAATGAAAATGTAATAAAAACTTCTAGGGTCGGAGGGTAAAATGTAGGGTAAGTCGGGTGACACGAAACTAGTGCTGGGTATCGCGACGGAAAAATTGTATCGCGATATATTGCAGTATTATATTTTGTATTGCAATATATCACGATATAAATATCTTATAATTTTTTTGCTTTTTGTGAAGGTTAAATGAAAACACAAACTCATATTACATGTATTCTCGAGTTGATATTCCAGTTGCCTGAACCCGAACCGGTATTCACAAAAAACAGTGCTCCAAGTCACACTTGCTCTCAGGTCGCAAAATGGCGACCTAAAAATTTTTTTGGTCGCCATTTCAGAATTTCTGGTCGCCATAATCAAATATTTCACTCGCCATAAAAAAATACATTTTGTGAATAAAACTTGATAATTTAAATAAGGATATGTATTATGTCTGTATTATATCATAGATTACTTATTACTGTGACTGTAAAAATTTGCTAGGTTGAATGAAATATTTTTATTGAATACATGTACCCTTATGGTTGTACAGAAGAACGCAAGTAATCTGATTACAGAAATAAAATTTTATCAAATGAAAATACAAGCTTGACAGGTGTTGAGACAGGACTTTGGCTGCTGTTTGTCATGTTTATTTACTACTATGTATACCTAACCCATACACAGTCATTATAAATGCCGCCAAAACACTATTAGCATGATAATACAATCATGATTCATTGTGATATGCAAGCAATTGATCAAATGCTTCAATAACAAGGTCGGATCTTAAAAAGTGTACGAAGTTTGGATGCCATTCTATCAGGAACATTATTTGTCCACGTCTCTGGTTCAGGTTCTATCTAACTTTGTACAGCATGGCATGCTGTCATAACATTACGTGATCAAAGTCCATGCAACGCTTTGTAAAGTGTATTTAAGTATATGTCTTCAAACATTTTCTTGATAGAGAATCTTTACAAATGGAATCTCGATCCCGATCTTAAAAATTGGACGTTTCCAGCCCAAATTTTCTCAGTCGCGAAAATGCGAGTGTGTTTTCATTTCTAGTCGCAAAATCAATTTTTTGGTCGCAAATGCGACCATTTTAGTCGCAACTTGGAGCACTGAAAAAATACCGCGATACGTATTGTGAATTGTTATTTCATTCTTAACACACCTCACTTTAGAACTCTTGCACAAAAATATGCAGCTTTGCACAAAAAATGTTAGACTAAGAGACTGTACAATAATGTCCAAAGATTTTAAGAAAATTAGTCTCAGTGTTGGCAAAATTGGCGGAAGATGTGTAATTGACCCCTGAAATGTTCATGAAATAAAATTTTTTTTTCCTTTAAAACCAGAAGTCTCTGTCGAGACTGTAGCTCTACTGGTTTATACAGCAATAAATTGAGAAATTTATCTTGCCGCTCATCAAAATAAAAACCAATGCACAGAATTATGTATCTTAGTATAGTCTATTTGTGTGCCAAGTCATACTGAAATCGGACCAAACTGTAGGAGGAGTAGCATTTTGAAAGCATTCACAAATTTCTATTTTTAGTAACAAGGGCAACATCGTTCATCGAAATCAAAAACTGATGCATAGAATTATGTATCTTGGTGTAGTCTACTTGTGTGCCAAGATATATTGAAATTGGACCAAAACTATAGGAGGAGTAGCATTTTGAAAGCATTTCACAGAAATTTCTATTTTTAGTAACAACCACAACACTGTTCATCGAAATCAAAAACCTATGCACAGAATTATGTACCTTAGTGTAGTCTAGTTGTGTGCCAAGTTATATTGAAATCAAACCAAAACTGTAGGAGGAGTAGCATTTTGAAAGCATTTCACAGAAATTTCTATTTTTAGTAACAACAGCAACATCGTTCATCGAAATCAAAAACTGATGCACAGAATTATGTATCTTAGTGTAGTCTACTTGTGTGCCAAGTTATATTGAAATCGAACCAAAACTGTAGGAGGAGTAGCATTTTGAAAGCATTTCACAGAAATTTCTATTTTTAGTAACAACAGGGCTAGACAAATAGCACTGCCCGACGCCCGGGACAACCAGTTTTGGTTGGTGGGCAAGTAATTTGGTAACAGCTGCCTGTCCGCGGACAAGTTGTTTTCCAATTAACAAAAAAATTTTTTAGACAATACTCAAATATCTTTAATGTTATCGCTTTTAAAGTATCATGAATCACAGCAAAGCATCTGTTTTCACTGATGTTGACTACTTCACGTACATCGAATAGTCGGAACTCCTCTAGAATTTACCCATAAAGTGTTGTGAAAATATGCAGATGTCGTAAAACATGGAGTTATCAATGTCGTCAAAGATGTGGTATGGGAATTTAGACATGGTCAAAATACATGTATTAAATTCATACTGTGAATACAGAAGCTAGTGGTATTAAAATTGTTGTTGATTGCTGTTCCCTGGCAATCACACAGCATGCAGTAGTGTTTTGTTCACAGACTCGTTTTGTTTATAGGTTTTATGAGATTGATCAGTGTCCGATATCTTCACCTTTTCCCATTAAATAAACACAACATTACTTTTTCAAAAAGTGTACATGTATTTTCTTGCAGAATTTTGAGGAAGAATACTCCTTAAAATTTATCATTTTAATCTAAATTTTTCTGTGGAATTATTTCGTGATTTTAGATCTATGATAGTCTTTGTGTATTGTTTAGGTGTCTCACTCAAGAAATAATTTAATATCAATTGCTTCAATTCTATGTATTTTAAGAAAACGGTGACCAAGCATATTTTTTGGTAGGACAAGTAGTTTTACGATGGTAACCTGTCCGAGGGCAAGTACTGAAAAATTCTATTTGTCTACCCCTGAACAACAGCAACATCGTTCATCGAAATCAAAAACCGATGCACAAAATTATGCATCTCAGTGTAGTCTAGTTGTGTGCCAAGTTATACTGAAATCGGACCAAAACTGTAGGAGGAGTAGCATTTTGAAAAAAATTCGAAGAAATTTCTATTTTTAGTAACCATGGCAACACCATTAATCAAAATCAAAAACCTATGCACAGAATTATGTATCTTAGTGTAGTCTACTTGTGTGCCAAGTTATATTGAAATGAAACCAAAACTGTAGGAGGAGTAGCATTTTGAAAAAAATTCACAGAAATTTCTATTTTTAGTAACCATGGCAACACCGCTAATCGAAATCAAAAACCGATGCACAGAATTATTTATCTTAGTGTAGTCTACTTGTGTGCCAAGTTATATTGAAATCAAACCAAAACTGTAGGAGGAGTAGTATTTTGAAAAATTTTTTACAGACAGACAGACAGACGGACGATGGACGGACGACGGACGCATTACTATCGCATAAGCTCTTCTGGTCTCTGACCAGTAGAGCTAAAAATCATGATATTTTTTTAATATCATCCTAACTGCTTAGGAGATATTAAAGATGATGTTTACTCATGTTTCAGAAAACAGAAAGGAAATTTTGTAAAGCATGATATGTTAAATCAAAAATTGCTCTAAATGGATAAAATTAATTAGTTTTGACCCAATATCAATAGACGACTTTCACATTTACAAAAGTTATTCCCCTTTGCGGGGTCAATCCAGGGTCAACCGGCGTAAGACGCTGTTTTCCCTCTATAACCTTACCAACTTTATGGGTCGGTATCCTAGAAATAAAATCTATATGAATATGCTCATTATGTTTTTCATGTTGCCCCATACTCCGGCAATACATGTACAGATCGAAATTGTCATATGAATTTTGAATTTTAAAAATATTAACATGTAACTTACAAAGGAGAAAGAGGGAAAAAATGAGCGTTACGCCGACAATGGGAAATAACTCTTAGGAATGTGAAATTCGTCTATTAAAAAATTAAATATTTCCTGCGAAATACTCAGGGGCCACTAGCATGAAAAGTAGGTCATTGACCTAGTAATTTGAAATGGAAATTAAACACCAGAATTATAGGTGTACAATGTGCAATAGGTTGTTTTTCGTTCTTATCAGTGGAATTTTTAGTCCGCTAGTAAAGGTATACCTTAAGTCTGTTAAGTTTATTAAAAGAAGTACATATATTTACAACTTTTTCAGCCTTACATCATCTTTAATCAGCAGAAAACTCAACATATTGATGTTTTTTAGCAAAACTGATAGGTATTCTACATTTTAAGAGTTAACTCAAATGAGTTACTTCTTTGTATAGTCATAAATAAGTGCAGTAACCTAAACTAGTTATTTTGAAAAATAACTTGATTCCATGATGCCCCTGACTGTACATTGGGATGAGCTAAAAAAAAATTTACCTTCACTGTTAACAGCTGTTGATTTTCTTCTCCAGAGTCAGAAATCCAAAATGGCTCCTTCTTCACTACAATCAAGACATTTTACATGTAAGATTTAGAATATATTTTTTTTTTTGTAACAAGAGTTCAATCTAGTAAAAAATTCTAATTTACAATGATATATATGTACTTCTATACATGTAGTACCATATACAGAGTTATTTTAGCCATTTCCTACTTGCAAACAATTTAACCCCATTTTAATTTCGCCCATTATAGTTTTGTTCAAGACATTACACTGTATTCTTTGAATCCCCCCATTTCAGGGGAATTACATGTATACCACAGATACCACAGATACCACAGAGTCAGACACTTCAGACACTTCTGCTTCATACTTGGATATTTTACTTGAAAAAGACACTAATGGTAATCTAACAACCAAGCTATATGATAAACGTGATGACTTTAACTTTTCCATCGTCAACTTCCCTTACTTATGCAGCAATATACCTTCATCACCTGCATACGGAGTATATATATCTCTGTTGATTCGATACGCAAGAGCATGCTCTACGTATGAACAATTTCTTAAACGAGGTAAATTATTGACAAGCAAGTTGATGAAACAAGAATATCAACAGCTCGTTTAAAGTCATCATTTTGTAAGTTCTATGGTCGATACAATGACCTTGTCAGCAAATACAATTTGTCATTGAGTCAAATGCTGACTGACGTTTTTCATACCAATTGTTAGTCCATTATTTATACACTGAATTGACGACGGATTTTTTCCGTTATTTCCTGATCATGACAACGAGCACATGGCGGGTGTGACCAGTCGGCAGGGGATGCTCACTTCTCCATGGCACCTGATCCCACCTCTGATGTTTCGGAGGTCCGTGTTTGCTCTGCTCTTATTTTGTATATTGTTTAATGGACTTTGAGATTGAATACTGTTCGTTATCTCCATTTCGTTCATGTATCCCTCTGCTCCAAATTTGACCAATTTTTTTTTTCATTCTTTATATATTACTCTTTATATTCCATAGTTGAGTAAATAAAAGTTATCTGCTACACAGATCATGTATTTTTGTAAACTACAAAAGAAAATAACGAACCCTATTTTTGAATAGAAGTATGATCCAGAATCGGAACTGAGGAATTATGAATGCAAAAACAATGTCCCGTTTTTGGCAGAAATGAATTATTCAATTTATTGTGTTGTTTATAAACTTATGAAAGATTTTTGTTTGTTTGTTATTTTTTTTTTTGGAAGAAATTGCTTAAATGTGTATCAGATAGTAAACACGCTTTCACAACGTATTCACCTCTGACGGTGTGGATTCAAGTGACATATTATCTATTCTTAGTAGGACAACAAAGGGTTAGTCCTATTTAAATGTACTCACTGAACAGAGTCAAAATCATGATACTTTTAAGCAGAAAACATAGAGCGCAAGGTTGTTCAACAAAGATATTTTCACACAACCTTGATAAATATAATATACACATTATATTTCGATCTCGACTTTGAATAAATCTGTACTCGATGTTTACAAAGGCTGTGAAGTGGGTACCTGTCACAAATTTCTTTCGATATTCATGAAAATCAAAGCACCCCTCCTTCAAAACACAGTTTCGTCTGTCATCTATTGCAATTATTTAACATTTTTAAACCCTGGCTCATATACTATAGACATAAGAGAATAATATAATGTATTTTTTAAGGATTTTAATGAAGATTTAAAAATTGACAAGTAACCGGGGATCACAGATGTCTTATTGAGACTTGTTCTTTATAAAGGGATAGTAGACATTTTTGTCATTAAGAGTTATCTCTCTTATCAGAGTATCAGTGAACCTTAAAATACATGTATATAATAACACTCACCAGTGGACTCCATATGAGGTGAGGGGTCTTCAGTATAAGGTGTATGCGTGTTCTTGAACTCTGCCATTATGACCAAGTTATTGCTCTAATCTAAAGCCTACAACTGAGTAAACAAATAATTGAATTGGCAATGCATTATTCTAAACGAAATAAAATTAACAGAAACTGCAAATAATTGGATTTTTTTTTAAGTCCAAGGGGCATAACTCTGTCTTTTAAAAAAATGGCTTGATCATGTTGAGCGTACCCAAAACATAACTTATCCTAGATATTTATCTGATATATCTGTATATTAAATTTTATTTCAGTATAAACAACAGAAATGTGAAGAAATGAAAGGAAACTACTTCTTTTTCCAGACAGTAAAACAATCATGTAAAAGGGCCAAAACCATAGGGGCTTGTCTTCCAGATTGATAACTGTAAAATAATTTTAAAAAATTTGTATCTACATTAAATACACTCTAAATGTTGCTTTAATAAATATTCTGACATGATCAGGCAAGAAAAATAATGAAATTGAAGAAATTGTGTTAGTTTTCTGTTGATTAAATGCGTGTTCACGACTGACAACCGCATCAACATTTAAGAAAATCATCACTTTAGGAAAGAGAACTATGGCAACGAAATAAATTAATGCCTTAGAGTCCAGAAATAGGTGCTGAAGTGGGAGGGGGTATTTTTTCCAAGATGTCAGCTTGCGTCCCTTTGAGAGCTTATGTATTTAGTCATTAGGGTATTCCGAATCACCCCGCATTTCGCGACACTCGGTAATTTACCTTAGGCCATTCCAAGTTTTTTCTATGTTTAGCGTCCACCCATCTTTCAAAAACCTACCTACCTATTCGCAAAAAACACACAAGCCAAAACATAAAACGCAGGCTTTAAAGACATAAAACAGGGCTCTCACACCACTTTTTGGGACTGGGGCCGGGGCCGTTCAAATTGGGAAAATTATCCTCATTTTGGGAAGAGTTGTATAACCTAAATTTATTTTAAAAATCCTCAAATTTTGCTTTTCTAGCATTTTTTCATCAATTTAACTCTGGTTTTGAATAAACAGTTAAGCGGAACAAACATGGGTACGTAGGCTATTTATGAAAATACATTAGCTTTGTCATAACCATCTTTGAGTGTTAATATTATGGTTATCAGTCTTTCTGGTTGACAGTTGCTAGTCACATTCCCGAATTTCCTCGATCACATGGGCAACTTTAGTTTGCTTACCAATACAGCGCGAGACTGAACATGCCAAAGCGTGGGTATGTTTCTAGGTGCAACATACTAATGTTTAAATGAAATGTCTATTTTTGAAACCCAAATGATGTTTTCTGTCGAAACTACATGGCAAGATACTCTGCACTCATAGACAGTACGCACTGTACATTTTTGTAAAAACAATAACCTGGTTCCCCAAACCAGTTTACGAATGCATTTGGCGCGAACTAATACATTAGTAGTACAGTTTTACTTTCACTTGCAAGTGTTTTTTGTTTGGGTTTTTTTTTGCGATTGTTTCATGGACTTTTATTTTTTAATTAATATTTTGCCATGGAAATTGGGAAATTTACATCTTTCTTTTGGGAAAAAAGGTACCTTTTTTGCATTCAACGGCCCCAATTTTAGAGAATCGAGAGCCCTGTAAAAATGACGCGCTTCAAATGATTTGATCTAACTAAACTGCTTTAATAGAAGAAATATCTATTCTTAAGCAAAAACAAGGGATTAAATGCTTAAAATACACCCAATATAACTTACCGTCTAGAATTATTTGGAGAAATTGACAAAATTAAAAAATTTCGACGAAATTAATCAATTTCAGGACTCCGGATGTTGTGTGTTTTTTCTTACATGGGGTGTCAAAAACCAAGGCGAACGCTGACGCTTAACATAGAAAAAACTTTGAATGGCCTTATCGCTGTATCTCATACAACACATGCAAACGTTTGACAACTAAATAGTCATTAACAACATGGTTCGTGCTTAATACATACAATAAGGATATGGAAATAACGAACAGTATTCAATCTCAACGTCCATTAAACAAATATACAAAACAAGAGCAGAGCAAACACGGACCTCCGAAACATCAGAGGTGGGATCAGGTGCCATGGAGGAGTGAGCATCCCCTGCTGACCGGTCACACCCGCCGTGTGCTCATTGTCATAATCAGGAAATAACGGAAAAAATCCGTAGTCAATTCAGTGTATAAATAATGGACTAACAATTGGTATGAAAAACGTCAGTCAGCATTTCATTCAATGATAAATTGTATTTGCTGACAAGGTCATTGTATCGACCATAGAATTTACGAAATGATGACTTTAAACGAGACTGTTGATATTCTTGTTTCATCAACTTGCTTGTCAATAATTTACCTCGTTTAAGAAATTGTTCATACGTAGAGCATGCTCTTGCGTATCGAATCAACTGAGATATAAATACTCCGTATGCAGGTGATGAAGGTATATTGCTGCATAAGTAAGGGAAGTTGACGATAGAAAAGTTAAAGTCATCACGTTTATCATATAGCTTGGTTGTTAGATTACCATTTGTGTCTTTTTCAAGTAAAATATCCAAGTATGAAGCAGATGTGTTGGACTCTGTGGTATCTTTTATCTCAAGCTCACCAGGATATATCGTGTCGACGTAGGAATGGAAATTATCACTATTAATTGACAATACGTCGTCGATATATCTAAATGTCGAGTTGAAGGCCACAGCAAGTGTTTTTTTCTTTTCACGCAAAAGATTTTGCATAAATTCTGCTTCATATGAATATAAAAATAAGTCTGCTAATAACGGAGCGCAATTTGTACCCATGGGAATTCCAATAGATTGTTGGAATACCTGGTCTCCAAAAACCACATAGATATTGTCAATCAGAAACTCAATTGTAAACTTAATGCTTTAAGTAAAAAAATAATTAATTCATTCGTTCACTACCTATCCTTCGCGAAGAAAATGCCCGTGTGTAAACGTTGCAGAATATTTCTAATCTATGTCGTTGTTGGTGGATGAAACCTAGCATATTAGGTATTGATAGAACGGAATTTTTATGAGCTTTCATAAGCATTTTAATTTTTTTATTACATCTAAAAAATGTGTATGTTACAATCGCATTTGTAGCCCCCTACAGTTTGGGGTATTACGAATTACAAATTTGCATGACCACAACGGAAGCAATCGCACACGCTGCATACTTGTTAAATGTCCGATATTTTGATTACATCGGTTTTCTTTACATATAAGAGACCTAGCTATGAATATTATGAAATGGAAAATTAAGCTGTGAAGAGTTAATGAGTAATGATGGTATTCACTTGACCAGTGTTGATCCTTTTATCATACATATGTAAATATGAACTTGCACACATATACATGTACACATATATTTACACTGTGCACACATACAGTGATTTATGTCATATTTAATAATTGTGATACGCATATTGAAACAAGAGCTAGTTTTTAATTTACTATTCATACTTTTTTTTTATTACATGTATGATCTTTTTTTGGGTAGCCCATTAGTAGAATTTTGATATGTTCAATGTTAATTGTTTTGCATCAAAAAAAAAAAAATCACAGGGGCAAAAAAGTGACAAATTATATTTACAGGACAACGATTAACAGTCATGTAGTTTCTGAAACGTGTATTTTCTTGGTAATAATTGCTTTTCTGCATGACCCGCTTCTGTAAAGCTGTTTTATAGTGCGAATAGAGGGGGGTGTTTATAACCATTTACCTGGCGATTCAAAAAACCCGGAAGTGATTCGCAACACACTAAAAAGGTGATGTAAAAATAACCCCTGTCAAGGTCGCTGTATCGAAGATAGACTCGTTCTATAAAGTAGGTCTGAATTTTCACTAAATTGATACCAAACAACTACCATGTGAAAATAAAAAATTCATATCATCTGCAGTCAAAATGTAAAAGGTGATTCGGAATACCCTAAAATGACTGTAGTACTTTTTTAAAAACATTATTTTTCTCGCCTGATCATGTCAGAATCTTTATTAAAGCAACTTTTAGAGTGTATTTAATGTAGATACAAATTAAAAAAAAATTATTTTACATTTATCAATCCGGAAGACAAGCCCCTTTGGCCAAAACCTCCAGGGAAACACATATCTATAATGTTTTTGTACATGCCCTCTGACAGGTTTCAATTGTAAAATTACTTGTCCTACCTAGAAATATTCAGGTTTTCGCAAGGACTGTTGGAATACTCAGAATACACAGAGTTTTACAAAATTCAAAATTGCACGTGCAGGCACGGATCTGGCTTGGTGTATTAGTGTATAAATACCGGTAGTCAAAATGACGATCCCGATCATAATGTTGGCAAGTGGTAAAACTAGTCGTCTCAACTCCCGACAGTCTAGGATTTCGCTTTTTTTGTTGATATCTTCACAACCTTAGACCTAAAACTTAAGGTCTATGTTACAACTAATGAACAGAATTCATCTTTCTTAGCTTAAGCTCATTTTCTAGGTTGCTGTAAATTTCCAAATGCATAAAAATGTTTGATCAAAATTATTTTCAATTTGTTGAATTAGCATTCCATATTATGGAATTCCACATACGACAGGTAACAGCTTGATGACAACTTCCACAAAAGGAACAAACATTTGAATAACGTTTCAAATTTATATTGATATTTATGCACTTAAAAAATCAAAGTACTGAAAGTACTGAAAAGCGGTTAGCAAGCTTTCATCTTATATGTACCGAAAAAAGTGCATGAAATGATGATATTTAAGTATGCATATCTTTGTCCAATGTCATCAGAGAACAAAAAAAACAAAAAAACAAACAGACATTCTGTTTTTGTAATACTTTACTTAATAGTAAAACCAATAACATTCCAAACTGATGTCACAGATGGATGCAATCTAATTAAAATTAGATGTTCCGAATCCGCTACTGCTTCTCAAACATCTAACAACATCCTATTTGGGGTCATGTAAGAGTGAATCTTCGATTAGCCAAAGAAAATGGTTCCTCCGAAATCTTGGCTTATAGTTCAGATGGGTTTCTTGTTTTCACCACCGAACCAAAACACCCGAGGAGTTTTGTAGTAAACAAAATATGCATTGCAAAAGCTGTGTTATGTATGACGTGTGGGGTATCTTGTATAGTTTGTGCTCTTTCGTTTGCATTATTCACGTTCAGATGCCAGACTGCAAACTATACATGAAATTTATTCCAAAATTACTTTAATGGGGAACCGGAGTCGGTTATCTTATCTTGTATCGGTAGGGGGCGCCACAGGAAAATGCGGTCCATTACAAAAATGATAAAACCTGTGAAGATGGATAATCAGCATCCATTCTCGAATACGATATCGGAAAGCACACACGTTTCAGTTACAATCCTTAATTTACTATGGCATCTAATTGTGGTGATATGACTATACCCGAACTTAAGAAGGAGTTAGAAAAGTTTGGAGCAAAGAAATCAGGAAGGAAGTGGGAACTTGTGGAGAGGTAAATAAACATACGATGTTTTCATGCAAATCCAAGTAAACATTATTAATAACACGGTAAATAATTATCAATGGTGTGTAAAAGATTAACATTACGTCAAATTGACAGTAAATATCAGAATTACCGGGTTTAAGAGACTAATTCTTAAATAATCAGCAACTTTAGCGTGTTAGATTTTTAACTTGAATTTCCTCGGTAATTCTAACATCGATGTCATATTGCTTGGTGCTTGCAGTAAAATAAGAATACTTCTCTACATTTTTATTATGAAGCAGTATTATTATTTCCTGATTGTTGCAGCTATGTTTCTCTCAAACTATACATGAAAAAGAATTAAATATGCTTATTTTATTACAGACTTGAAGCCTACAGAAGAAATGCACATTGCGCTAAGACCGATGTTTATGGACCTGAATTTATGATGATGACGCCAGATCCACAACTCTACAAGGACCTTCATGGTGACAAGACCTTTCCAGGTTGCACAGAGGCAGAAATTTCCACTTTCTTGTCGAAGTTTAATAAGACAACTGATAAGAAAGGAAGGGATATGTACAACGATGGGTTTATCCAGTATGTGAGGGTGACATTTCATGATTCAAATTGGTTCGTTAGAAGTAGTGTAAAAGCTTCAATGATGAAGTCTGTGAAATATGTTGTTGACATTATGATAGGAAAAGACAGAAGTGTTATAGAGTCTCAATGTGAATGTGCGGCAGGTATGGGACCCGATGCACATTGCAAGCATGTCTGTGCTGTACTTTTTTCATGTGCAGATTTTGTTAAGCATGGGACATACAAAACAGAACTCACCTGCACACAGAGGTTACAAACTTTTCATCGTGCTAAGCCCCATAAAGGAAGCCCTATGAAAGCAAGACAGTTGGACATGCCAGGCTGTGACGAAGTATGCAATAATGACTATGACCCTCGTCCAGTTGAATTTAGAGGCAATCCGGGATACCAGTCTTACTTTAGAAATGTGTGCTTGAATTACCCAGGTATTAGTAAGACTCCAATTTTTCAGCTGTATGAGCCTGTAAACATGAAAGCTTACAACCTGGACCATGACTATCTAAAAGACACGTTTAGTGAAAATCATTTGAAACTTTTAAATGTATCAGAAATTTCAGAGGAGAATGCACGTCAAGTTATGATAAAAACAGCTACACAAGCGGCCAACGACCTTTGGTTTGAGGAACGTTGCAAACGTCTTCATTCTTCGGTATTCGGGAGAATATGTAAAGCAACTGATCGAACTGATAAGGTGAAACTTGCAGACTTCTTAACAACAAAGGCACAAAAAATTAATGCCAAACCTATTCTTCATGGAAGAAAATACGAAAAAAGAAGCTGTAAAGAAGTACCAGGAAATTTCGGGACGCACAGTTTACGATAGTGGAATTTGTGTCAGTTTGGACTCCCCTCATTTAGCAGCAACCCCAGATGGTATTATCGACGATGACACCTTGATTGAAGTTAAGTGTCCATATGTGGCTAGAAACAGTTTTATTTCCTCAAAAACAGTTCCTTATATCAAGCAGTCTGGAAGTAAATTTTATTTGAATAAATCCCATGACTATTACTATCAGGTCCAAGGACAACTTTACTGTGCAGAGAAAAATGAGTGTATATTTGTTGTGTATACTTTCAATGACTTTTTATTCTTTGCAATAGAAAGGGATGATAAATTTATTGATGAGATGAAGAAAAAATTGAATGAATTCTATGAAGATTTTTTTAAGTCTGCTCTATTGGAAAAAACTTTTTTCAAGACATATGATGGCAAATGTAGTTGCAATAAAGAAAAATGAAATAAGACTTTTTTCTCTTATTATGTCATTTTTAATACCAAGTTATGCATAAGATGGCACTATGCAATTCTTAAAATTACACAGCATGAAACAAACATAGATTATTTCTGAAGAAAGTTTTGTTTCAGAGCTATTCATAGGCTCAGTCAGAATTTTGAATGTTTTTGCAAGTCCAATGATCCTCTCAATGTGCACACGTTTGCTGGATATTTTTCGGTCCTCAATCACAGTAGCACAGGACATTCTGTTTTTCTTTTTGAAAAATGTTGGTGTATTTATTTGAATGTTCCTGTGTACAAACATATCCTGCACATTAAAACCTTTGTCCGCCATTACTGAATCTCCAGAATTGCACATTTCCAACAACCTACTTCTTTCAACTATTTGACGGTCACTTGTGGATCCCCCATAAGCTGTAGAAATATAAGATGTTAATCCACCTGGTGTCGCTCCTACAAGAACTTTTACCGTGTTACGGTTTTTATAGGTAGAATACGTTGCTTGCTGTGGCTTTGGTAACTTTGGTCTTTTAATTGGACACTCTGTGCCATCTATTATCACTCTAGTATTTGGAAATTTTGTTTTAAAGTCTGATGGACAGTAATATTTAACAAGATACTTTGTAGGCCAAATGTCAATTTCCTGCCATTGCTTACTCATGAATAAAATCCATGTAAAAAATATATTTGATACAGTCTTTTCGGAAACTCCAAATAATCTTGAAAGTTCAAAATTGGTCGTATGGCGCCGTAACTTGCAGAGGACTAAGAAAAATTGGTCAGGAACACTAATGTTTGAAACCTTATGATAAATATAATTCAAACAGTGAGCTGCGGGTCCTAAGGTTCTTAAAACAAAATAAAATTTAGTTAGAGTTTCCAATCCAGTATAGAAATTTACTCCGGCATCATCATTTGTAAAGTTTTCAATACTCATTGGGGGATACCGAGGAGTTTGTGTCTGTACATCAAAAAATTTAACGTCAGATTTCTGAACAGTGACATGAATTTCTTCAGCCAAAATTTGGGTAGAGCTAGATACAGTTTCCTCGGATACTTGCAGATCATCAGCTGATGTATAGATGACTTCATCTACGGAAGACGAAGCAGAAAATTCTTCTGCTAGTTTTCGTTTGATGCCTCTGGACTTGGCTCTGTCGGCTCGTTCAAGTGAATGTGGACTTGGCTCCACCCAGGGAAAAATGCTTGGCACTGCAGTTTTCTTCAATCTTTTACTTAAAGGAGTAGTTCCTAAGAATTAAATCATTTATATCAATACTTGTTCATAGTTCTAGATTATTTATTAAATAATTAATTTATAATTTAAGAACTAAATTTTAAAAGCAAATAAAACAAATATAAATTTACTAAAATATTTTTATTATTACATGTATTATTGTTATGAAATTGATGTTACAAAACATGCCCATGTGTTTATTAATTCAACTAAACAGGTCAAATTTGTTTTTAAGCAGGGTGCAAATTAGACATCAATGTCAAAACACAGTATCTTGTACTGGTAGATATGCATAAATTATCAGGCAACAGCATGTGTTATTTTAGACATGCCTTGTGTTTATATTGTTAAGAGATAATGCATTTTGTAATAAATGACCAGTAATTGAAGTTGTCAGTGGGGAGTCTGCATGTGGCAGTGTCTGTAACGTTATCAGATTACTTCGTATGAGAGGTAAACAAGGGATTCGATATTTTAGTGCATTTCATCTAAGCAAATAAGGCATAAATATTGCTCAGAATAAAATCTATTAACATTACTTTGCACATGCTTATCAAAGATTTCAAAATAAATAAATAAATATTGTTACCATGCTGGGTTTCAGTCAAATAGTCGTCTGATTTAAAATGTGCTCTGCAAACAACAGCATGAGTTGACGGAGTCCAGCTTTGAAAACGAGTTTCACCACGTTTTATTGCGTGTATCCATGCTTTTCTTCTTAACGGGTCTGTTGGAAATAGATGGCCACCCCGATTACTACAATTCGGCACACAACAACAAGTTTCAGGCATGTTTTACGGGCACGTGTTTGACAGCAGATTGTTTACGTTTTTCTTCGATCGGTAACTACAGATAAGGCGCGAGGGTGTTCCGATACAGGACCGTGTTTGCCTGTGGCGCCCTCTAAAGAAAAGATAACCGGAGCAGGTTCCTTATTCAACGTAAGACAGTATCAATAACGATGATATGTAGCCGTGGAATTAATTTGAGAATTGTTTACCGAGGCTTGAATCTACATGGCCAAAGTGTTTGTGTTTACTAGTACATGTATTCATAATCGAAAGGTCGCTCTGATGTGACCCCGAATGGGATGTTAGATGTTTGAGAAGCGGTAGTGGATTTGGAACATTTAAATAAATTTTAATTAGATTGAAATGCATGTTTCAAAATTTAAACATGAGATTTCTTCAGTTTGAAAGACAGGAAGTGCATTTTTAAAAGTTCTCTCTTGGTGGCATCCAATCGTTCTCTGGATGAAAACAATTATGTTGATGTTGAAAATTTAATTGTCTTTCATGCTCTATTGAATCTGAAATTAGGTAATTGTAAAGCCTACTATAGCAAACAACTAAAAAAATGACAAGTTAAATTCTTTAGATTAATGGATTTGGAGTAGTGTAGATCTACAGCTGGCTAGTCAGAGAAAAAAAGATGGCTGAGCAGAGACTGTAAATGAATCAGAGATATCAGAGAGCCCCAGATGTGTAGGCTCACTGCGGGTGTAACCTGTCAACGAGGGATGCTTACTTCTTCTAGGCAACGGATCCCATCTCTTGAACTTTCAGGAGTCAGCTTTTCATCTTAAATCGATCATTGATCATTCTGTATTTTGATACAGATACTGAATACTTCCGTTTAGTAATATTATGAACTACTACTTCTAAGGGAAGACTGGCGAGTAAACAAGATTATCAAGCTTTATGAAATGTACTTTATTGACTTTTCAAACAAGTAAATGTTCGAATAAAGTAAATGGTATACGAGAATCATTTAAAAGAAGTCTTGCACAATATGTCTAGATAAGGACATATAATGTGTATTTGCCATATACTCTTCATGCAATATTGTTCTCAAATAAAACATGTGAAAAGGAAAGTTGTCTAATCAATCAATACTAGTATTTAAAAATTCAAATGTACACTAAAAGTCAGTGTAACTTAAGAAGTTATCAGTGTCACTTTCTTCAATATGTCGGTTAAACAATATACACTGATTTCTTTTCTATCAATGTGCCTCTAAACACCTGTATTTTAATTTAATTCTTCTTAAACGCTCAAAATAATAATCGACAAATTAGACAAATTCAAATTTAAAAAGTATTTTCTCAGCTAATAATACGTTCCTTAGGAATTGATAAAATTTTCAAAACTTATAAATAAGCATTAAGTATATATTTTAAATTTTTGCTAATTGCCAAGATTTTTCATACCTTATTCTCCTGTGAATAATTATATCGGTTGATTTTTAGAAGAGAATCACAATGCCGATTAAAATTAATATATATTTATCCATTTTTTTTTTCAAAATTAATTTTACTACTCTAAGTGCCCCATTATTTTTTTCAAAACTAAAAGTAAGTGATCCCTTATGATCGTTTGTAATAAATTATCAAAGACGGAGTAGAGAATTTACCCCTGGGAGCAGAGCTTTTATAATCTGTTTATTAGACAGAGAAGAAAAGAGAAGAAAACAAACGTTTCATTGTGGAGGTAATCCTATTGTTTCCATAAAAACGTTACAAAAAGTGTAAAACGTACAGATGTATTCGGTGTTTTTATAAAAGCGTTTTTCAGGTATTACTTAACTTAATAAATGGTGTTTCTTAATACTTTGGCAAGGAAAATCAAACTCGATCGAGAGATTTGCTGATGTTTTTGCAGTCTGTAATAACCTTCAACCTGCTGTATAATTAACCGTATCGTTCAACTTTCAAAAATAAACTAACAAATGCTATAAATCGGGATCGCACGATGTACATGTAATAAGGACCAAATTCTCAGTTCTTTAAAGTTAGTGTTTTAAGTATTGTCAATGCATTGGTAAATAATAGTCTAATAAGAATTCGATATAATCGTTATAATAGCCACTCTTCATACACAGCTTATTGTCAATCTCTCACCAGGGGGCGTATTACGCCAACAGTATACAAATCATAGGAAGCGCTTTGCTGAAGTTACCGTTGTCGATAGGTAGCGCCTTGTGGAAGTTTCCGGTTTTGGTTGCAAAAGGATAAGGTTACGTGCCATAAAGCGATGTCGATAGGTAGCGCCTTATGGAAGTTTCCGGTTTTTGGAGGCCCATGCCATAAAGCGGTTAGCTAGCTAACCGCTTAAAAAGGAGTGAGGGAGGGGCACGGATCCTGATTTTTTTTTTTCAGAATTGGCTGATCACAATAAAAAAAAATCAAATCCGGAAATTTCTTGGTAAGGAAAAAAAACAAAACAAAAATGTAAACTCAGCTCCTTTTCTAAACGTGTTAACCTGGTGCTATGAATTTAACAATTTTGGTAAAGGATTCAATGCTAATTACAATCATACCTACAGTTTGACTGTTTGATGCCCGGGAGTA